TTCGACCCGACCCTGGATTTGAACCCAGGATGTCATGATTAGCAACCGCAACACTAAACCAAAGAGGGAGTCAAATAATAATCCCATAAATAGAATCCGTTGTTATTAACGTTCTCAATTCGAGTGTATGCGAAGTTGGGGGCGTTAATTCTTCGATACATTATGTCTTAGCAACGACTTCAGAAGGTAACGCGTAGAATCATTTTATTTCTTTTAGTTCTTTGATGTTAACTTAAATTTTTATTAAAATATTTTTTTATGTTATAGAATGCAACTAATGAAAATATAAGATTACAAACTTAAGCATACACCCAGTTACGTGTGCTTGTGAGTTGATAGCTCGTTGATGTCTCTTGTATGAAGCTACGTGTTTGTATCAAAATCAAAATAATGTCGTAATAAAGTTAATGTTTTAAGCCCATTGAATACAATATAAAACATAACAGCGTTGGTTATTAAATTGTTGCAATATGATAGCATATAATTTGACTTGTCCTTCTTATTATAACGGATGATTTCAAGCTATTCGTGCGGTGTGCGTCATTAATTATAACTTACGCTTGATAAACTTGTGTAGAGTCAATGGTATATTAATTTAGCTATGTTGTTATTCATAAAACCTATTATATAGATAGTGATGAGCATATTCATCCCGTGGGTTTCGTAAGAGGCTACAAAATATCACTAAAGCGGGAGATGGGCAGAAGCATATTTATGATAATAACTCGTTACTAATAATAAAATAATTCCTGATGCCGACCCACCGTCAAACGTGGCAACTATAGCAGATATCGCCCCTATGAGGAATTTTGTAGGGAAGGTCTATGTTCAGCAGTGAACGTTTGGTGAATGATGAATAAGAGGAACACTTAAAAGAACTGGTGAGTTCGTGCTTGCTTGGTACCCTTTTTACTGGAAACGAGGCATTCCATTTTAGACCTCACGGGTGACAACGAATCTGCATTTTGATTCGCAAACGAGGATAAATGCAGATGTCTATGGGCCACAGCAACCACTTACCATCAGGTGGACTGTGTGCTCGTTTGTCAGCCTTATTCTATGAAAAAAGTACAAATGTGGCACGTTAATAAGATAAATAACGTAACAGACTATATACGTCCCACTTGTGGGGAGAGGGTTCGTCTCATTTCTGAGAGGGCCTGTAGAGCACAGAACAGTTCACCCCAGATCCCAATGAATGTTGGCAGAACTCTATTGTTCTCGCTTTTTTTTTAATTCTTAATTAATTTGATTACTCCACAACATTTTACTTCACAGCCGAGCAATAAGAGAAATTTCTATATAATTTCGAACTACTTTATTTTTAATTTACAGTTTGATTACACGACTCCCCTTATATGCCCCCCATATATAACCCCCCATTTACATATTTCTATATTATTATAGAGTCTGTGTAATTACAGGCTTTCTTCAGGTATTTCATCTTGGTCATTTTTTAAAAAACTGAAATTACCAGAGTCAACCTGAAGTGTAAGTGGCCAGTGCAGAACATGGACACCTACAAACAATTGGTCACTACAACGCACCTATGCCCTTCTTTATTTTAAATTTTAAATATTGAAGACTACAGGTGTGTTGTTACCCTGACGGCTACGATGACGTTATCATTATTTTGTTTGTTATTCCTACTTTGTAAACTGTGAACCCCAAGGCTTTTCCCTGTTTATTTACAATACTAAGTATTGTCTTCACATCCATCATAACTATTGAAACTGGAAAATACGATATTGATTTTGTTAATGCACTGACGATGATACATACGTTTAGTGACGTCATTAATATGCGGTATTTGATAATACAAATATCACGCATGGGGCGCAGTAGGCCACGATCAGGTGGACTGTAATTTCGTTTAATTTAATAGTGAAATAAACATTTTAATTAAATCTTGTTGTTACTCATGAAGTAATTATGAACAGCTCTTATTCGGTCAACAAGCTATGAAAATGCTACGCCTTTTTTTGTTGTTTTTTATTTATTGAATAAGGGTGTCAAACGAGCACACAGTCCACCTGATGGTAAGTGGTTACTGTGGCCCATAGACATCCATGATATAGAGACAGCCATGCTGCAGCTATATTAGTAGTATAGTTGTAGCACGAATGGGTCGGCTCGACCAGGGAAGGACCACGCTCTCATAGAATACCAGCATAAAATAGAAGCTTAATGCTACTATGTTTCGTATGGTGAGTGTAGAGAACCGGAGAGCCATTTTACTGGAAAAGAGGCATACAATCTTAGTCCTGACGGCTGACAATGCATCTGCATTTTAATTCGCAAACGAAGATAGATGTAGATGTCTATGGGCCACAGTAACCACTTACCATCAGGTGGACTGTGTGCTCGTTTGTCACCCTTATTCTATAAAAAAACAAAAAAAAAAGGTTTAGCACGCACAGTGGTGGACCGCCAATTATCCAGGTAGCATGGATGGTCGCGAGTTTTGTCACGATGTGCGATAATGAAACTGAGCGGCTGGAATTAGTCCGAACAATTCCTCAGAGCACTCCCCGTGGTAGATGCAATAAAATACGCAAAAAAATGCAACATCTCTACGCAGTTCCAGTGAGTCAAGCCGTTCAGAAAGAACTCGGAGAAGAAAGACGTTTCGGACCGCTCTATTCTGGATATGGTCAAGTGGAAGGAGCTGGCACTGGGGAGCCCTTGCCCAGTGATGGGATATTCCATGTGGGGCCAAACCTGCACCTTGTAAATTTGCAAGCGGTGTGTCGGCATGAAATACTGTCACGCTCTGCTGAGCACGCCTAGCTTTTTAGAGGCCAATTTGGCCTTCTCTTCCAAGTGACCACGAAACTACAAGTCAGTCTATATGTCGACACCGAGAACACCGATATGGCTGAGCCAACAAGGGTTGTGCCTTAAAATTGAATAAATATGACAAAGGGGATATTTTAGCGGTAAACGCGCAATCTTGTGTCTTATGGGGATTGAACTGGACTAGAGTTAGTCGCCCCTAGTCCGAGACTTTGTTCAATAAAGTCTCGACTTCAGACACAAGCTTGTTCCGATACGTGGCGACGTTTTCCCGAGAAATATTGGCACGGCCAGTGTATAAAGCATCACCAATGCTGTCGTCTGAATAGCAATGAATGTTACCAGTTTGTAACATATCATTGATATGCAGAAGAAAGTTGGTGATAGCATGCAGCCTTGTGGAACACCAGTGTTAATAAGCTTGTAATCGGAGCATGCACCGTCTGCTTTTTTTATAGGATCAGGTGACAAGCGAGCACACAGTCCACCTGATGGTAAGTAGTTGCTGCAGCCCTTAGACATCTACGTCTATCCTCGTTGCGAATCAAAATGCAGATGCGTTGTCACCCGTGAGGACTAAGATGGAATGATACTTTCCCAGTGAAAAGGGTCTCCGGTTCTGTACACTCACCATACGAAACACTACAGCATTGAGCTGCTATTTTACGCTGGTATTCTTTGAGAGCGTGGTCCTTCCCCGGTCGAGCCGACCCATTCGTGCTACAACTATACTACTAATATAGTTGCAGCATGGCTTTACCACGTAAAATACGCTACGACACGATGCTACGACATTGATGCTCCGATCTGTAAGAAAACTGATGATCCAATTGCACAATTATTCGGGAAGCCCATAGGAAGCAATCGTCGAAAGAAGCGCTTTGTGCCAAACCCGGTTTAAGGCCTTCACTTTGTCCAAAATAACGGCCAACGCCTACCTCTTGGACTCCACTGCCTCCGTCCATCTATGAGTTAGGTAACCTAGAAGCTCACCAGCTAAACGACTATGGCTGAGTTCTACCTCCGATATTCACCACAGATGATGGAATAAATAATTCCATTCCCTGAAGTAGCACATCATCGACAGAATCAGCAAAAACGTTTGGATCATCTGGCGAGAAGCAAACCCGCCCCCAAGGTTTGGATGTAAAAAAAGACCGCATCCCGTCCCAATCGGCCGACATATAGTGCCAAAGATGGCGGCATGCAGCAGAACGACGATGAGAGAGTGAGTGACACCATACTTTGGATCAGACAATGGTCCATAGAACCGAGTGGTGAACGTAAGAATCACAGAGCATCACGATCTGTACGGAGGGGACCTGTTGTAGCAACAACAAAAAGTCTGCAACCATTCGGATGTGATTGATGAGTCAGCCTGTGTTAGCATTACCGCTATGGGAACTATAGAGACACCCGTAGACGTGGGGATAGTCGGCGCCTTCTACGCGCAGCCATAGGATAGACAGGTCCGTACCTTCAAGACTGCCGAGGCGTCGAAAACAGATGTCCTCTCTGACGTACACGCAAACTAGAGCCCGGGGCACAAAGGAGTGTTCTAATTTGTACCCAGGGTAGGAGAGATACGAAGTATCAGCCGGAGAGGACACCTGTGTCTCCGTTAGAAAGAGCAAGACCAGCTTTGCTGTCTCCAGATGGTAGTGGATGGCGTTAAGGTTTGAATGAAGTCTCCTGATGTTCTATGGTAATTGGGCCCCGGCCACATGCACTCACCAGGCGAAATACAGTAGTAAGCTTCTACTTCACGCTGGTATTCTGTGAGTTTGTGGTATCACCCCAGTTCGAGCCGGCTCATCCATGCGATAGCAAAAGCTGCCGCGTGGCTCTACCACTGTTAAAGCTTGCTGCAGCTATATTAGTACTATAGTTGTAGCACGAATGGGTCGGCTCGACCGGAGCAGGACCACGCTCTCATAGAATACCAACGTAAAATAGCAGCGTAACACTGCTGTGTTAGTATGGTGAGTGAAGAGAATCGCAGACCCTTTTACTGGAAAAGAGGTATTCCATCTTGGTCCTCACGGGTGACAACGCATCTGCATTTTGATTCTTTATTGAGGATAGATGTAGATGTTTATGAGTTACAGGAACCACTTACCATCAGATAGACTGTGTGCTTGTTTGTCACACTATACTTTAAAAAATAAAAAATTCAAATCAAAAATCAAATAAAAAATCAAAACAAAATTCAGTTATTTTTAATATCTCGAATCCCATATTATGTGCACACAAACATTATTCATTAAATAATAAAATAAATACAGAGTATAGTAATAAAATTAATACATAACAGTCAACAATTAATTATTTCAAATAATAATAACATACAACAATCTTTTATTACTTATTTTCATTTCAATTAACTACATCTGTTGCGTAAACTCGTTCGCGATAGCCGGTAGCGTTCGCTTTACTGTCGATAAATTGCCGTGGCACTATTTATATACATTAAACTGTAGCTATCGCTCATATAACGGAATTAAGCCATCTATATAGCTGGGTAGTTATATATTAGTTGTAGCACGAATGGGTTGGCCACCAGGTATTATTCTACACAAGGTATTCTGTGAGGTCATGGTACCACAACAGTTCGAGCCGGCCCATCGATGCGACAGCAAAAGCTCAAAAGCTCAGCCACTTGGCTCCACCACTATCCTTTAAATTTAGTAATTTTGTACCATAGCTATCATTTAACACGTTCATGCACACACTTCAATATAGTAGCTCTATGTGATATTGCACATAATTTTTTCATACAAACTAAAGCGACGTCTAATGACGCTGTGCAATAACTGATAATATTAGTATTGAAATATATTGCGCTGACGTCCTAAGACGTCACTACATTTTCGTTTATAAGAGTCAAAAATGCTTTCATAACTAGAATACTCTGAATCGTCTGTGGTGTTATAAGAATTTTCTGATGCAGAATCCGATGTAGATCTAACAACAGAACCAGTTCGTAAATTGGAACAAGTACTCTTTTTGACATGCAATAATGACTTTTTGCGCTGTTTGCCCCGCTCAAACTGCGAAATGCCTATGTCACAGTCGCTGTCGTCATCATTATCAGCAATTGGGCCGTAATCAGCATCTGATCCAAACTCTCCATCGTTAACAAAAGGGACTGGCGTGGTTTCCCGGGATGAAGAAAGCTCATAGATTTTCATTGAAGATTCCTTCTTTTTTAGCTCATTTTATATATCTAAAACAAACAAAAAAATACAAAATATGTATTTTGAACATATTCAGACTTATTACAATAAAGTATAATGCATTTATATAATATATATATCGTAGTAAGATAATAAAATACTTACGTTTAGCGTCAATATTCCATGTGAACATAACATTGGCGCACGCACTAGCCCCGCGACGCGCACAAGTCGACTGATGTAATGAAACTTCTTTTGCGAAACGACGTATAGTGACGTTGTGCGCTAACAAAGTGGGTACTTAGTATCAGGGAGGAACGCCATCTAAGAAGCCAAAAAAAATCGGTGCGATGTGGCACTACAATTTTGAGAATTCGATATGTTTTGGCACAGTAACCCAACTTTAAAACATTAGGATGGCCAGACACCGTACCATAACGTTGTGCTCAATAAATTGAGCTATTGCTGAACGTAATAATACGTTGTGCCATATCATATCTACAAATATGTGACGTATATATACGTTGTTCGCATGAACGTGTTAAGTATTATTGTGAGACTCTGGATTCCATAGACAAACTGTCTAAACTGTTTTGTGGGAATATGTTTGCTGCAGCTATATTAGTACTATAGTTGTAGCACGAATGGGTCGGCACGACCGTTGAAAGACCACGCTCACACAGAATACCAGCGTAAAATAGCAGCTTGATGTTGCTGTATTTCGTATGGTGAGTATAGAGAACCGGAGATCCTTTTTACTGGAAGCGAAGTATTACTTAGTCCTCAGGGGTGGCAACGCATCTGCATTTTGATTGTTAACAAAGGAAAGACGTAGATGTCTATAAGCCACAGTATCCACCACTTACCACCAAGTACACTGTGTTCTCGTTTGTCACCCTTATTGAATAGAAAATTTAAGCACGGAGTTTTGAAAACTAGCAAATCTAATATATTACTAGCGATACGCCCCGGCTTTGCAGTACCGATTTCTAGATCTCGACAACAGTGCCATCTACTAGATACAGTTATGAATCTTAGCCATTTAGAAACCCACTAGATGGAGTGACGGCCTGGTAAGACACGTAGAAATGGATGGATGCAGGTGGCTCAGGATCGTTCTTAGTGACATTCCTTGTGGGAGACCTATGTTCAGCAATGGACTTGTGAAGGTCTGTAATGATGATGATGAGGATGATGAACGAAAGTCGATCTACTTACTAAGATGTTCTGTCATTTCGCGGTCCATCTGCCGTCCTCGTGAGTGATCGAAGTGTGCATTTTTCCTAACAGTATTATTGGTTTTGAAACTGAGGGGAAAACGTGAGTGACTAATACGTAGATAAATATTATAAGAAACATTTATTAAATACGGTATGCGTTATGCAGTTTGCATAATTAAGTTGTTTGACCCTGACCGACAGTCAAGCGTTCACTGACCTCTCCACGTGTAGTCGCTTGTATATCATCGGACACTAATCAATGCATGCTTAATGTCAATATACAATACATCGCTCTTTTACAAAGAGTTCCTTAGCCAGGTTTACAATTAGGGCCATTAATGAATATCAAACATTTCAATTAAATTGTTTATAATGTAATTCAATTACAAAAAAACACACATAGTACCACTATATTCTTGATAGTTGCAAAATACACTTTTCGCGCCTAAATCAATTTTATTTGTTTCCCACGAATTGCACAAAGCATACCTGATTTTGATTTTATTAAAATCGATTCAGCCGCTTTTTTATAAAAATCCAACTTTTGGTAAAGCACTAATAAAGAATTCAATAACCTGTAAAAGTCTGGACATGGGATTCTCCCTTTTATTTCTTTTTATTTTATCCACTTTAATGTTTACAACATGTTAACGTAAAGGATTATATAGCACTTAATGCCTTTTGACATTCTTTCCCAATAAACCACGTTCTTGTAGAATTAATGTGATTCGTGTAAAAAATCTTTAAATAAAGAGACATTATTTCTACATAATAGTTTTTTAAAATCGGTGCTAAGATAAATCATCGTGTCAATTAAAGTGCATCGAAAAATAAAGACCCCCATTTTCAGAAGCCGATGTATGAAGTCGATTTTAAATTTATTATTAAAAGTTAAATTATTTATCGTTTTGAGTGTAATAACTAGAATTTCTTGATATACATTACATTAAAAATGTCATTCCTTTTTTTGTTCAAACTAAAATGGCACCAATTTTGATGTATGGCCTTCTTGAATAAACAGTGTGCAATTGTTTCTCCGCCACTACCCCGCACACAAGGCATTTATAAATTCGAAGTTTAACTTTACTTAATGATATTCATATTATAAAGTATAAGAATCTCGACAGTGTTACCATGTAAACGGTGCATTATACACGAAAGTAAAGTGAGTCAAGGCAAGAAATTAAGTTTAATTCACAAATTACCGTAATGCAACACTGCTATAATGGTAATGATACCCAAATGATATATGTGTACCTAGAAACAAAACTATTATAAAAAAGACTTCGTAATTACAAGTATTTTATAAGGTACACACAAGTACAAAGTCACTATGTTTGTTTTGTATTTATGGTCGTAAGCACGAATGGGTCGGCTCGACCAGGGTAGAACATGCTCTCACAGATAACCAGCGTAAACAGCAGTCTGATGCTGTTATTTTTCAAACGGTTAGTGAAGATAGCCGGAAACCCTTTTTACTGGTGACGTGGTATTCAATCTTATTCCTTATCTGCATCTGCATTTTGATTCTTAATCGAAGATAGATTTAGATGTCTCTAGGCCACAACATCCACTTACCATCAGGTGGAATATTTTGTCACCCTTATTCTATAAGAAAGAACTTACGTATTTTTTTATAGGATAAGGGTAACAACGAGCACAGTCCATCTGATGGTAAGTGTTTTGCTGCGACCCATACGTATTACGTATTTTGGATTATTTCAGTTAAATACTTAGTATTAAATCTGTTTCTATTGTGTATGTCTTTATTCACGTAACAAAATATATATAAATATTTAGTACAGTAATAAGTAATACTATTATTAAAATAAAGCTTTAAATTTTTATTTTGTTTAATAATAATTAACCAATATTTTGATATTTTATTCCATTTAGTAATAATTAATAATTGTCTGATATTTCTATTATATTTAATAATAATTAATAATTATCTAATGAGTAGTTATGTATAAATTTTAATTTCAATGTATCTTTTAATATTTTGTAATTAATAAGTAACTGAATTAGCCACAGACTTAAATTTGATATTTGTATGCCTCTATGTAAGCGGTGAAACATGTTTGGCCTAAAGTATATGTAATTAACACCTGTATTTACCATGTTTGATGCAAATAAATAAAAGTTTTGAATAAAAAAAAAAAGAAAATAAAGCTATCAACATATTTCTTTCTGTTGTTCTAGTATCTCGACATGAAAGAGGGCAAATACATCTATCGCATGTGGCAAAAACCGACGTACGAGCTCTTCTCCGAGGTCCACATTTTTAATTATACTAATGTTGACGAGTATATGAAGGGAACTGACAAAACCATGAAACTGAAAGAGATTGGACCCTTCATGTTTCAGTAAGTAATTATAAATTAGTTAATAATTTAATCTTTTTTTGGTTTTATTTTTGTTACTCTTGTATATGATTTGTTACTACTTTTTAACCTACCCTGTAGTGGCGGTGTAAGAATATCCACAGACCACTTATCATCTCGTGTATGTCGTAAAAGGCGACAGAGGGTAACTGAAAAAGGAGCTAGGCATCAGCATGTTCCCGATAATCTCAAAATAATAAAAAACCTGCCAAACGAAGTAAATGTTGCAAAAACCCTTTTTTTATATAGGATCGGGTGACAAATGAGCACACAGTCCACCTGATGGTAAGTGGTTGCTGTGACACATAGACATCTACATTCATCTTCAATAAGAATCAAAATGCAGATGCGTTGTCACCCGTGAGGACTAAGATGGAATGCCTCTTTTTCAGTAAAATAGGTCTCCGGTTCTCTACACTCACCATACGAAATACAGCAACATTGAGCTGCTATTTTACGCTGGTTTTCTGTGAGAGCGTGGTCCTTCCCCGTTCGAGCCGACCCATTCGTGCTACAACCATAATATAGCTGCAGCATGGCTCTACCACGTAGAGACGTACCCTTTATGAGGCATCTATGTTTCAGCAGGTCTATGTTCAGTAGTGAAATTTTATGGGCTGTAATGAGTATATGGATGGATCATCTTTTTCCATTATCATTCCATTCCTTCATATGATGTCTTTCCTTCTAGCGGGAAGACGCTCTAAACTTCGATTACTAGTATGAGGCTGCCACTGGAGAACCTTTCTTCCCTATCCATTGTCAATTTTAAACTTAATTATTGCTGGCCCATCATTCAGCTTACTGGTTCCATGCGCTATCTCGGTTACTTTGATACTACTGCAGACATCCTCATTTCGAAGTACATCATGCAGAGGAACTCCGAACATAGCCTTCACCATGTATCGTTGTGCGATCTTGAACTTCTCTACGCTCAGCAGTAAAGGAACACGCCTCAAATCAAACACACGAGTATGTTATTACTGGCAACAAACAGTGGTTGTACACTTAGGAAGTCGATATATGCAGGACCACGCACTCATAGAATACCAGCGTAAAATAGCAGCTCAATGCTGCTGCGTTTCGTATGGTGAGTGTAGAGAACCGGAGACCTATTTTACTGAAAAAGAGGCATTCCATCTTAGTCCTCACGGGTGACGACGCATCAGCATTTTGATTCTTATTGAGGATGAATGTAGATGTCTATGTGTCACAGCAACCACTTACTATCAGGTGGACTGTGTGCTTGTTTGTCACCCTATCCTATAAAAAAATTAAGTTTAGGGTATCATAAGAGACTATGGAGGGAAATAAAGCAGTATATAATGCGTGTCATTAGCGTCTTCGTAATAACAACTTAAAATTAAAATAAAAACTAGAAAATAATAATGTAAATTTTTAACTACTATTCTGCGTTTAAAACAAACATATTGTTAAATGTTTGCCTGTCAAGTTAAAACCTATATTAAATAGAAATAATCAGTAAAATTACAACTACAATGGAACAATTTTGAAAAGTGTTCACCAATTGACAATTTTTTAATTTTTAATTTTTATGGAACAGAATTTTTATTGTAATTTGTAACTATTTTTGATTTATTGTGTGATTTTCGTGAATATTAGTAACGTTAAT